TACAAAAATGTGCCTAGACTTATGAAAACGGTGGCTTTTCTTCAACCTTCACTTTGGTTGAAAAGAGTCTGATTAACCTTTGATACTTGGGCAAATGAAGAAGATTGAGTACCATGGCAGGCCACCCATGAGGTAACAGATTTTGCATAGTTGATTTTTGTAGTAAACCAGTATCATGCTTATCTGCTACATGGAATGAATCTCAACAAGAATTCCAATCTTAGGCTGCAACTGTTGTGGAGATGCATCTGCTATTACTTTAGTCACGCAAGAAGCTTTCTTCTGTTGAGCTCTTGCTACAAGTTACCAACCATGTACTACATTTCAACCTTAGTTATCTAAGAGTAGTTACCTTCAATTACTAGAACAAATCATCTCAAAGAGAAGGGAGCAAATCACAGAAATATATTTGCTCCTATATCTTAGTAAGTAACACAATACTTTTTTTCCATGTTACCAAATACAAAAATGGTCCAAAAAACCTGGTGAAGAAGAGACTGTTGAGATTTCAAGTAGATAATGTCACGATACTATAGCTGCCTTGCTGTATAGCCTTAATCAAGGTATCTTTAGTCTTTCCTACGATGTAGTATTCAATTATATTAGGTTATCTTATTGTGTTACAAAACCTGTTATTTTTTCAATTATTTAAAAACTTTTCAACACAGGGGGCAGCAGTTTGCACAGCAGATACAGCAGCAGAATCCAGAGCTCATAGAGCAACTGAGAAATCATGTCCGGAGCAGATCTTTCAGTGGCAGCACTGAGGAACATTCCTGACTTAAATGAGTACTGTGAATTGAAATGATATATAACCCCAAAATGCATACCATAGTTAGCAGCAAAAGCACCATCGTTAACTCTTCTGCTTGAATAGAAGACTGAAAATTCTTTGTGCGTGTTTGCAAACGAGAATAAATCTGTTAAACAGATCTATTGCACATAACATCATTTAATGTATAGTTAATCCTGGAAAATTAATATACTAAATGCATTCAGTGGTTTATTAAAATCCTTATGTACAAGTCATTTTCAGTAGGTGCATTTGAGTAATTTCCATGGGTGTTGAATGGCAAGGAGTTCTGCAGTTGTCTGATTTAGTGTAACAACTTAATTCTAAAATCCTTAATTCTAAAATGTAAAAGGCATGTTATTCTAATACTGTTATTCTAATACTGTAATTCTAATTCTGTTACAACTGCTGAAACAATAGCTTCATCAGTCCTTTTAATGGACATCTGATATGCCCTTCTATGAGTGTAAATCAGTGTTGGAGTGTAGAATGTACATAAACTTCTGCTTGAAGCCTGTTTATATCTGCGGAGAGGCTGTCAACGGTAACATGAAGTACTTTTTCATCTTGGCTGGAGAAAAGGAAATGACTGCATATGAAGGAGTAGCAACTGTAGAGAAAAAAAGATAATTCTAAAGTGGAATTATACATACACCAAGATACAATTTGGCTTGGTAAGGAAATAGTATTAAGGAGTTTCAGACTCCTCAGCTGCCATGTATACCCTCAGATCAACCCTGGAGGCCAGCAGAGTGGTTATGTTTTCATAGGCATTGCGAACTGTATTACGTTCCATAGGCATGCAGTATTTAACATAGGCTTAACATTCATAACTGTAATAAAATAACTGAAAACACGAAAGACTGCATAAATATCTTGTACTGAAAAGTAATAAGAAATGATTGCCTTAGAAGAATTCTCTTCCTGCTCCTGCACGATAAATCACTGGCCTCAGATTCACTGTATGTTATCTTCTTTTAGCAATGATTGTATGGCTAAAGATTTTTCTAGTTTTTGTTATTTCTGTTTTTACATTGGCATTCTTTACCAGCTAACCTTATTCTGAAACAGACCACTGTTTTTCTGTATTTTCTTTTAAATTCTGCTTGCTGCTCACATTGATTTCTGTGATGAGGTGCATTTGTTTCAGCTTCAGGGAGCTTTTCAACACACTATTTCTCTTTCTAAATCAAAACTAAAACTAATTTGAGGAGCCTGCTTTGATTCCTAAGACAAAGTGCCCTCTACTGGCCTCTCAGACTAGAGGCAGCCCAGACAATAAAACAGGCTCCTAAATGGAAAAAGACACAGTAACTCCTTGGACATTACACATTATACCTATTTTGTGGGCAAAAGAAACCAACAAACTCAGAAAATGCAAAAGTGGGACTAAGTCAGGGATTCCACTAAGAAATCTGTGCATCCATTGTATGAGCCTTCAGCAGCCAAAACACAGGGAAAAATGCAGCTGGATCCAAGGAGAAATGAAATGGAGAAAACAAAAAAAATCCCACAATCACAAAATCCACATTATCCTCTATTGAATACATGCACTTATTGCAGCGGCATCAAGATATTTGTAGTTTCTTCAACAAAGCAACCCTACACGCAGCACTTACTTAAAAAAATATATCTGTAAGTTGCTCTGGCTGCCTTGTTAGGGTTGTGAAGATATTTAAACTTCACATTAAATAGATTTCCAAATAAAAACTGTCAACAACATCTGATGACAAGGAAGCTTTTCAATGTGATCTTTTTTCAGAGGTAGTTAAGATTCTGAATCTAATCTGTGAGTTAAGTTCAGTTACACTAACATAATAGGAAAGGATACTGTCTACAGGAAAGGTCAATGTATGTATGTGCTATGTGGGCTAAAACTACTGTGCAAACAGTATTCTGTGTGTTGTGTCACGAAAGAAGCATTGCTCCTAGCACATAACTCCTATTAATCTCCACATTTCCTTAATTTTCTTCCATAGTGAGTTTTATTAGCTTTGCTAAGGGGAGAGTAGTAAATCCAGGAATGTCTGGATAGCACATGGGGATCTCTCTCAATTAATTTATACTTCTGTTGGAAGCACTGTTGATCTTTCTACTTTAAAACAGCAAGTGTGAAGAACCTGTTGAGAATTCCTGTAGAACAACAAAATGTGGTAATACTAACATACTGATGTAGAGGTTGTACTGTCTTCCATAAATATACTTTATTTTTTAAATTGTTCACTGGTATGGCCTTATATTGTATTTATCAGAGTATAATCCCCAAGGTAAAAGAGAAATGAGTTATTGGTTTGTTATTTGAAAACACTAAAATCATCTTTATGGATATTTTACATACTACTACAGTATCATCAGTGTTTAGGTTTTAAGCCTGTACAAATCATATGTAACCAGAATATGTATTACAATGGTGGCATTAGCTAACTTTTTTGGAATGTGCTACAACTTGTGTAATACTTGTAAACATTCTTTGTTTCTTGTGTATTAACAAAAAGGGCTTTATAGCCTCAATAAAAGACAGTGCAACCAATAACAGGAGCCGTTATTACATGTTTTTCTATTGAAGCCAGGAACAGAGGGATTATTTATGCTGAAATCTATTTGGCCTTGAATAGGCTGCATTGTTTCACAATGCTATGCAATATCCCTTTAACACAGCGTGAGGAAGGAATCCTTTACCTGTGTAATAACTGCACTTCTGTTTTGCACTAAAATTTTTCATCCTGCTAGATCAAGTGGCAAACCCCAACCACGGAAAATAGTGTTTTAAATTAAAGTTAGTGGCAGTTTTTCATTTAACTGAACAAATACACATTTAACACCAAATTGATTTTGCATCATTATTATTCCATCAACATGTAAGTGTGATAATGGTTAGAGAAGAAAATGTTACGCACTCAAACTGTAAAGGCCTGTAGCCTGCTTGCATGGAAATATATGCTAACTGCCTGATCAGAAAAACATCTAATGAAATATTCACCACAGAAATTATTCCTGTTGCACTTTTGGTTTTCTAATGAGTATGAAGTAAACTCACTCATATGAAGACAGAATTAAGTCTGCAACTCATGAACAAATCTTCATACGCTGTTTGAGGGCTACTGATAGTCACTCTGACGAAATGCAGCTTGTCTACTATTTCTGAACCTTTCCTACTTCTTATTACCACAAGGTCACATCTTCAATTTGTGTCAATTTAACTTGAAAACAGATTATAAATAAAGTTATTTACATTTTTTTTGTTTTGGATGTGGCTTTACTGTTTTAGCTTATTGGTACCTCTGAAAATATTAAGTAGATAATTGCTTGGTAGGCATCTTATTAATGTGCAGAGTATATATATTTTAAAATTCCTCTAATTTAATTAACTGGTCATAATTTATCCAGTATCTTAAAATTGAAAGTTAAAATTGAAAGATTCCATGTATAGTGAAGTCTAAAGCATATGTTTTCAAAACTGTACTTTCTAAATGACAATATGGTTTGACGAACTATGAAAGAGAATCTTCACTATTGGATGCATAAACACCACTAATACAGAAGATGCTTGCTGATACTCCTAGTTTAAACGGCTAACTTGGCAACCTTAAAAAAAGATTTCAATGGTATGTCCAAACACAGCTAGGGAAGAGTATATTTTAGTGCTTAGAGTCCTGAAGACCTTTGTGCATGTGCTTTGCAGACCTTGATCTAGGAAACAATTTTCTTCTCATTTTCTTAAAATTTTAGTTAATGTAGACATTTTGCCACTGCTTTCTAGCATGGGAAAAATAATTCACACTACCTCAGTTTAACAATCAAAAATACCTCAGTCTTTAGTTCCCTTGTAACAGAAGGATAGCATTCCTATTCACAACATGCCCTGCAATCGCAGGGAAGCACAAAACAGTGAAATTTCTCCACCTGATGGACATCTCAACAGCGCTGGGTGCTCCCCTTCACCTCATGGCTAGACACATGCCATGCAAGTGTACTGCTACTCCAGACACCCAGAAGTATTTCTTTTGGGATTTGAATCCTGGAACTTGTCTATGGAAGGCTAAGCCCTTCACACTAAAATCAGAACCACAATTTAGTAACTTCAGAATGTTTAGGATAATTAAAATAAAAAAAATGCACTGCTATTTTAAATAAGTAGATTCAAAGAAACTCCGTGTCAATCCTTACCCTCACCCAACACATTTAATGAAATACAATTTGCTAGAGCTACGCTTTTTTCAAAGGCTTTATTTTCATTAAGATGCATATGCATCTTTTCAGGAGATATTAAAACATTCAGAAAGATGCTGAGAGAAATTAAATAAGCAACTTGTGCTTACGGGTATATCGGGGTTTTTCTTCTCTTCACACAATATGATTCAACTGCAAAAACACAAGAAGTTGGTCCAAAAAACAAACAGCAGAAATAAAACTTTTCTTCAGCTTTCTTGTTTGACTTTTGAAGAAACAACACAGACTTGTGCAATATCATCATATTCATATGTTCTCTTCAAAAATGTGTCAGTAAGCCTTAAGCCAGAGACACTCTAGAAAGGAAAAAAAATTATAAGACCCGTTATAAGAATTACTAAACTCATAAAACAGGTATTTTATAACAAATCCATGCCACTGACTTACTTGCAATCCCTGCACTGAAGACAATAACGTAAGTGCAAGACGGAGAGAGGAACTTGGGTGTAATTTTCCAAGTTGTCTTCCTGAAACTCCACACCAGTGGATGGAATTAGTATTGCACATTTCTAAAACCAGATCCATAGTCCTTTCACTGCTAGAGGAAATTGAAAAATGGAAATAAACCTGTGGACTTTTTTTTTTTTTGAGCATTCAATGACTGCAAATATTTAACAGCTAGATTATTATTTAGGTTGTTATTAATGAAACACTTAAAATTAATTCATATAATTATAAGACAGCAAATAAGATTTACTGTGATGTGCAATAATTTATTTAAACGCAGCCTTGGCTAATGTGACTTTTCTATCATGGATTCAGTTAACTGGAGAAGACAATAACGTTCACCTTTTCAGTGCGCAGTACCTGCAGACCAGGCATTTGCTTTAGTTCCTGGCTTCAAATTTTATTTAGAATTGCTTTACAAAAGTGTTGTTGGAGACAATAAAGGTCTACTGGAGTACACAGCGTAAATACAAATCAAGTCAAAACATGGATAAAGACCCACAGAAGACCACTTAAGAGAATGCTTAGGAGACACTCCAGGGGTGGTACTGAATTAGCAGTAAAATCAAACTTGATATAAATGGTATTTATTCTGATAAATTATGTGTAATTAAAAAAAAAAGCAAAACAAGTAAGCACTAGTTCTGTAAAAGAATTAAGAATATGCAATTGAACTGTGAAATCTTACATGATACTGCAGCCAATTCTGCAGAATTCCACTGCTGATTTTTGACAGTCTCCTGATTAGAATAGTATCAACACATAGTAATGGAAGATATATTTAATTATTTAGAATCACTGGAATCCAAAAGATGTTTAAAGTAATGAACCATCAATTAGGTGGTATTCAAAGTAAAATCCATGCTTGAAGTGTTTCAGGAGAAATGCCCTGAAAAATGTATTAGCCACAACTTAGCAACTCAGGAAGAACAAGAGTCACATGACATCATTACCTGCAATTTGTTATTTTACATGTAATATCAAAAGGCTCTTCCAAATTCACGGTGTCTGGTATTGTCTCCAGAGAAAGCCTTACATCACCATAACCAGGAGCCTGGGGAAGTATAAGAATGCACATTTCTCAAATGCTGGTTGGCAAAGTTGGAGTTTTTACTATTCACGTTTTCATTTACTACAACAGGTTTAGAACAACAGGATGTGAAGAGGATTGTCTCTTCTTGCTCAGTGTCCCACTATTATCACCTTTCTGATAGATTTAACAATTCATTAGACAGGATGATCTGCATCAAGTATAATGAATTAATTTACAGGGAACAATATGCACTTTAGTATTTTTTCGGCCAGTTCACTCTGAGTTCCAATACTCATACACTGTTCCTGATTAACATTCATTTCTATGACCTCTCTATCAGATGGTTATCAGAGATGCTATGGGTAATATAGTTTTCCTGCATTAGTCCTTCAGTATTCTTCATCTTTAGAAGAAATACTGTTCCTAAGGAATAAGACGGTGCATTCTCTTGCTATTTCAGTCTTCCAAACATCTGCCAAAATAATTAGTTGCCACCAGATAGAATGGTGCATTAATACTTTTCTGTATTTTGTAAAGAGCCAAACACTTCTCATATGATTTACTAACAAACCCACAATGAATACTCAACTTACTACAAACTTGGGTTGACTGAAAATCTAAAGCCTTTTATCTTTAAGCTCAATCTCCACAAACGATAAAACTACAAAGGAAAAATGAAGGAAATTTAATTCTGCCTAACAAGTCGCAGCTGAGACATACGTTCAAATTCTGCTGATATGTTGTGCTACATCTACAGCTTAAAAGGTATTCCCAATGAGGCCCAGACAGTAAGTCAGTGACCTGACAGCTTGTGAACAGCTTTTAGTTATATATGGCTCATTACAGACTGAAGACAGATGACATTTTAAAACACCTATTAAATTGGACATTAGAGTGAGCAGTGTCAAAACAGAGAATTTCAGATCAGTAGAACAATGGAACTTTGGAAACCTGCAAGAAAAAAACATAGTCTGTGAATTACAAGACCACTCCAAAACCAAGTGAAATTATTTTAAGCAGGAAACATCCAATAAATTGTTTCAAAAATGCATTCCTGATCTGGACCAAAGTAACGACATAAAGGAACAGTAAGGGTAAAATCTGGGGCTTGCAAGGGAAACAAATGCTCACTGGATTACTAAATGGATTAGGAGTAAAGTGATGAAAGGTGAGTGGAATTTAGACACCAACTAACCTGACAGCACTTAGAAGATGAGACAATGAAAGTAATCACAACCTCAAAGTTCATGAACAACTTATAAATCAACCAGAAAAATAGCCTGAATCAAGACTGCAAATCTGAAACATACATAGTATTACATATGCTACACATAAAGATTGTAACTCATAGAAACTAATATGTCTGTATGAATTATGGAGAAGAATTTTGTATGTTAACTGTTCAAGCGGGAGTTGTTTTTTCAGTGCTTTTCAGCTTCCTGCCAAATGGCAACCAAGAAGTTCATTTTGTTCTGATACATTTTGCTATCCTCTACTTGCTTCCAGCAATGTGTGCACAAGCCATTAAGTTAAATTGTTCAGCACAGTGACAAAGAAGAAAAAACATTTTATGTGCCAGAGAACAAACAATCAGGAAAATGAGATAAAAAAAACACAGTCATGCACATGATCAAAATGAAAACTCCAGTTTAGTGTTTTTTCCCCACACTTCATAGACCAAACATATGCTGAGTATATTAAATAACTTTCCCATATATATTTATATGAATTCAGATCGAGGTCCAGAAAGTAAGAAGCTTGAATTTTCTTTCAAGTTATTATTCAGCTGTTCATTGAGTTGCCTTAAAATTGATACTAAATTAAAATGATGCTTAAAGACTCACCATTCTTTGAAGCTGGCTGGTTTGCAATCTTCCTCGCTCACCTAGATTTGTTTTCCATACGATATCTAGTTTACCAATCACAGTGACACCTTTTATTACTCCAGCTTTCTCTGCAAATTCCTGCTTTGGTTTCAGGCAGTATAAATACTGACGTGTGTCCATAGGTTGTAAATAAGTTCTTGAGCCAAAAGTTGACTCACTAGAACAAAAAACATTATTCCTTCATTTTAAACAGTTATTTTTAGGAGGTCTTAATAAGAACTCAACCTTTCTTCCCTTCCTTCCCCATTTTTACTGTGCATGTGGCAATGTAGTCGATACTAGCACACATTTTTATATATTCACAATAGAAAACACTCCTCAAATGTATGCAGAACTGAAGGACCACGTTTAGATGTAAGAAAGTAGATTCAGCTGAGACAGAAAGAACTGAGATAGAAATCCACTTTGTTTATTATCTGGCATCTCAACATTCAAATAATTGTGCTGGTAACTTTCATAGAATCATAGAATCACAAAGTTGGAAATGACCTATAAGATCATCCAGTCCAACCATCTCCTCATCACCATTGCCACCACTAGCACTAACCCCTACCATACAGCATGTCATCCAGACGTCATCTTGAGCACTGCCAGGGACGGCGACTCCACCACCTCCCTGGGCAGCCATTCCAGTGCCTGACCACTCTCTGAGAGAAGAAGTTCTTCCTTATGTCCAACCTGAACCTCCTCTGGTACAACTTGTGTCCATAAAGCTAATTTAATCTCATTAGTCAAGAACTGTATACAGATTTAGCTTTGTTTAAAAAAAAAAAAAAAAAAAATCAACTATAGCAATGCTCTATCTGCCTTAAACACATACACTAACTTACCCTTTCAATTCTGCACAGATATTCACAGATTAAAAGATACAGAGGTCAAACTATGCAAAACCAGCTGTATTCTTTCATGAGTTTTGGATTTTTGGCTGTTTTTGTTGTTACTGTAGTTGTTGCTGTTTCGGTGTTTTTTGTTTGTTTGTTTGTTTATTTTAACTCCAGGAAACAGATACAAACACATGAATACAGAAACCGGGTAACTGATATAGGAAGAGGCAGACACTGGTACTGAAACAAATTTAAATCTCTGATTGCTTTGTTTTCACATTAATTTGAATGAGAGCTAGGTGAGAGCAGAAAAAGCAATCGCTGTAATTCAGATTCCCTGTGCATAACTAGTACTTCGAAATAAACAATTCTTCACACCAATAAATCCAAGGAGCTTAGAACTTACTTGTGGAAAGAAATAAACCAGAAAATAAACTCTTAAGGACCATATATAGATAAAGACCTCCGAAGTACCTACCAAACCACTGTTTGTTTTTTGGAGGGAGAGATTTTACAACAACAGAAAACAGGTTGCTTGTAACAATCTGCAGAACTGAATACATTAATTCATGGGCTATTAAAATAGCAAATGAAAATTTTGCAAAAAAAAGCCAACAGTTACTTAATGAAGCTATTAACAAAAAATTAAGCTTTGTACTTGAAACATGCTGAAACATTACTTAATGAACACAATAGGGAATCATCACATAACATGAAGGCAAGGGCAACAATAAAGAAGGATTAAATTCAGTTTTCAAGAGTTCTTACAACTACATTTTCTAATAACAGTTTAATCATCTTCTCAAGCATCAGAAAAAGGGAAGCAGGTACATACTGAGAACCATGGTTCAGGACATGGGTAAAGCTTACATGTAAGTATGATACCCTTAAGAAAAACAATCCCTTCTACAGATCACAAATCTGACATCATCAACGTGTTCATATTTTAGAGTAAAGATTTCATGCTGAGAAGTAAAGAACTATATCAATATAACTGGTAAGAAATACAGAACTTATTCCGCTTACCAAAGTCCAGTTTATTTCAAACTAATTCCCAGAAGAAATTGCCATGCTTCCATTTCCTGTATTCACAATACTTTCTATTTTATCAAACACAGATCTTTTAAGTTTTTACCTCACAGACTCACAGCCCCCTCAGCAACTTAAGGAACCCTTTGTTTCGCCTCTCCAACCTCTTCATTCATTAATCTTCTCTTTACCACTCTTGCTAGCTCTCTTAAGATTTTCTTAATCGCTACGATTCCAGATGGCAATGGTCACAAAGTGGAATTGGATCCATGAGTGCAGAACTGCCTTTCAGCCATGGTATTCACTAAGTCTCAATATGCAAAAAATCAATTCACACTAAGTCATTCCAAATATATAAACTGTTATTTGACTCCTTTCCAGGAAATTCCAGGCTCTCTCAGTTTTACAAGCTCATGATTGCAGTTTCAAGACAAAAAATGTTACACTGGATAAAAACACTTTGTATGAACAGCACTCCCCTTTAGTGGCCAAGTGCTTTGACAGACAAGGAGAAGAGAAAACAGAATTTTCATTTTAACTCCTACTATAGAGCACACAAAGTACACCTCTTCCAAAAAACCTAAGCAACTGCAAACTGCAAGCAGCCAAATCTGACATCCACCCTACAAGCTTTTCTGCCCACAATAATTTCAGAGAACAGTACACAGCTCTTCTGCTATTTGGTGTTTATTTCAGCATGACAAACACCTGTGGCCTAAGACTCTGTGAAGGAATTCCACTGATTCACCTTAACTGCTGGTTGGATAAATTATAACTAGATAACTGAAAATGGATATGCATCTACTAGAAAGAAACGAGGATGGAAAGCTCCTGCATCTATGAACAGACAGGTCAGAACCATACCTGTGCTAGATCTTATGAAATATATACTGAAACGTTTTCAATGCATTCATGCTATTATTTGAGGGTGAAAACAGAGATTTGTTTATAAGTTTTTAAAAATAACTTCTATAAAAAGAAAACTAACAAGCTGAATACATAATAGGAATTTGTTTTTTTTTAATTTTGCAAATAAGTGCACTCCTACAGTTACAGGCAACTCAGTGATTATAATGCTTACAACTCATGAAATCATAATACAATGTTTCCTCAGTCTGAGCATACCTCTCCCGTGCTGAGTCAACTGTGTTCAGTTCTGCAACGTTGTACATGATGGATGGCTCTAAAGAAACCTTCTCCATAAACATTGGAGAGGTAGTGATATTCTGAATCTGAGCTTCCAGAAACACTTCGTCTGTCTAGGGAAAAATAAAGAACAAAATCACAAAAATGTAATTGCTAATATTAAAATAATATATAGTCCTATTGTTAAAAAAACAAACAAACAAGTCGTGTGTGTTTAGTTCATGCCTGCAAATCAAAGTAATTAATGCAAGAAAAACCTTAATCCCAGTTACCATTAATAGGAGCAACAGTGTTAGTGAACAGGTATCTTGCCAAACAATGGATGTGGGATAATTTTTGCATGTTCTAGCTACTGCTTATTTGTAACACTTCAGATTGCCACTTCCCAAGATTTTCATCAACTTGGTAACAACTGAAGTTATAATCCAAATTATTAAAAAAATATAAGGAATTCCAATGCACGTTAATGTCATGCCATGCCAGATTACTAGTGCTGTATAAAAACAATTAAAGGAAGTGTGCATGTTTTGCTTGAACTAAAGTATAACAGCTCACGTACATGCTCTGAGATTTTTATTCTGAAACATTTGTGTGTCAACTAAAAAGTAAAACAGCTTCCCCTTTCACTCAGCTTCATCATGCCAATGGTCACTAGCATTACCTACATCTAACAATTTAGTGGGTGCTCAACTTTCAAAGCCTCCTATAAGATATATCTGTACTAATGAAGCTAATGCCTCAAGATGTTCTAGTGCAGAATGAAAGGTACAGACTGTTTTACTGAATATACTGGGGAAAAAAAAAAACTCATGAAACCAGAGGGATTTTTGCCTCTGCTTCTCTGGAAATGCAGACCATTAAAATCATGTTGAAGCTCTAAACCTGATGGCAGAATAACCACTGAAGGCTCAGGCTATCAGACTCATAAGTCCCTGAAGAAGTGCCAATTACAAAAAAAGAAAAAAAAAAAAAGAATATGTGCTGGGGGGGATATATCAAATCTGCATTTACGAGACAGTTACCAGTAAATTGTGTAACAACTAGATTAAATGTATGATAAATCTAAAAGATGTATTTCATGTAGAAATGGATAAAAGCTTCCTTTTTTTTTTAAATCAGTGTAAACAAGCTGGAGAAGCTCAATTTGTAAGTTACAGAATATGTTTGAATTACGTTATTCTCAAAAGGAACTCTGTTAGAAGGAGAAATGCAGACTAGTAATGGAACAACTCATTGTGCCTTACAAACAAGTTATGCCTGTATCACATAAATAGAGGAATGGAAATTGTGCAAGCTTAACAGGCTACCTTGCACTTCCAAGAGTTGGAAATACCCCTGAATTAAACATGGCTCTAGGCACTCATTACAACCACCACCTGACTGTTGCTTAAATTGACACTGTTTATATCCCATAAATCCATTGCTTAAAATCTCCATTAACCCAAGTTTTAGTTGTTTTAACGCAGCAACCATAGGCAGAAATTTTGGAAGAGCTAGTTTGAAAGGGAAAAGAAAAAGCAAGCAGCATAATGAAAAAGCAAGTTAGCTTTATGTTATCCCTAGATGTAATTGTATAAATATCAGCTGTTTTTTAAAAAATAAAATAAAAAACACCTTAAAGTAGTTCACCAGAACGCAGCTTGCCTTAGTACAACACACACCTTGGAGTGAAATCAGACTGCAGGAGTACCATACTAACTCATCAACTCTTACATGCAGTTGAAGTTGGAAAGCAAGGCTCCAGCTCAGGAAAGAAAGAACATCCAGCTGCTGCTCTCTCCTCAAACCCACTGTCTCCACTAACTGGATGGGAAAAGTTCTGTCACAGCTTACACAAGTAGTGCTGTTGTTAAATCTACACTCCCATGGTTCAAAACTAATAATGTTTTAAAGGAGATTAACTTTCACTTTTAAATAACAAATCCCCTTTTCCAGTTAACAAGAAAGCTTCCATCTCACCAAATTTTTGTGATATGTCCTACAAAATAGCACACATGAGAATTTGAAATTACCAACTTTCAGTTTCAACAATGGGTATTAAAGAAAGAGCTAACCATTTAAAAGATTAGCTGTACGTATGCAGGACAGATGGCAAAACATCAGTTCATGATATGCAGAACAAACATTGCTTTTCCATTATGTTTTAAAGTGTCAACAACAAGCACAGAGACAGACAGACAATTAAAAAAGCATACAGATTTATTAAAAAAAAATAAAAATTACCACAGAACTGAGGTCACTCTAATGGGAAAATAAAAAAGAACACATTAGAGAAATTAGGGTTAAATGTTAAAGAAAAAGGAGGCTAACTTTCAAACAAAATGCATTTCTGCATTTTTTTGTACCATCTAAACACAAGAGCATTAGTAAGACAGAAATGTAAATTAAAATGGATGCAAACAAAGATGACAAGTACATTTCTATTAAGTGGTAGCTAGTATTGTTACATGATTTACTAGCTTTGCTTCAGATTTTACTAACTGCTGCAGAACCAATACAAAACAGAGCCTAAGGCATACAAGCCACATGTAAGGCATGATAGAATAAATTAATTATATTCAAAAAAAAGCAGTTTTGGAGCAATTTTAAAATATGCTTTTAATTTAAATCCATGCAATGAGTTGAGTAGGAAATGGAAAAACAGTCCTTGTCATTTCACAGATAATTTGAAGTATCCATATATTTAAAGTCTCAAAAGAAAAAAGCAGGTTTTAAAATGTTCTAGCCAAGACACAATACTACAGCTTGCAACAAAATTTGGTGTAATTTAAATGGGAAAAAATATCTTTTGGGAGGGGTATCTTCATTAAAACAAAACAAAAAAAATACTTCAAGTGAAAACCTTATTTTCATAAGCATCTGTATGTTTGCCTCCCTGAGAATGTTTGCAGGAACAGACTCTTTTTCAGATCCTTTCTGAGGCACAAAAAGCCAGTGAGAGACTTTCTAAACACTGAGTCAGGTAATTCAATCACAGGATTGCAGCAGACTAAGGTGATAGGACATGCATTTTATACACGAATTTCAGTGACCATCATGATTTGGGTGTTACTGCAACATGAGCAACATGCAAGATTAAGTTCAGTGTTATCCCTTGTCCTAGAGAGATGAAATAAAACTAGAAATTGTATCTCATCAGTAACATTAACAGTTCAACTGGTTACTTAACTTTTAAATACCTCTAGTTAATCGGCAATTACACATATCTTCCTCTACTCCCAAGGAGAAGTCTGCCTTAAAATTCAGAATGTAGACACTGGTGCTTCTGATAGCAATGTAGTGCCACAAACAGCATTTATCCAATTTCTTCTTTCTTTCTTTTTTTATTTATCTATCTTTCACTGTTACATCACATAGCAGAACTTAACGTCCTTTCAGAAGTGAAATTAAAATCAGTTTGCTGGGTAAATGAAAATCCTTCAGTTAATATTATCCACAGTTTTGTTTTTTTTTTAAAGAAGTTTTAATCAATCATATGAATACTGAAGTAATGAAGTCATATGAATACCCAGAAAGAAATAACAAAAGGCAACAAAGCAACCTTTTCAAACCTTTGTGGATTAAAAAAAGCAAAATAAAAAACCGAAAACCCAGTGGCTTACCAAATCAAAACAAACAAAAACCAAAAACCACCATCAGCTCAGACACCTCAACTTCTCAGAAATTTTTATTTTTAATGAGGAATTGGTGGCTAGCTGAGGGATGGCGATATTTCGTTCTATACTTCATCAATGCCATTCAGACAAAAAAAAAAGAAGAAAAAAGTCAAGAGAAGAGTATTCATGACATGTCATAAGTCTGCCTAAAATTAAGAATTCTTTCAGCACAGAACAAAATTTACATATAAAGTAGAGAGACAATAAGGTTTAACACATTTGTCCCTCTTCACCCCACGATGTATTTTCTACCTGAAACAATGTGATTCATGTAGAAAATCAACATTTATCTTATTTATGTAATTCTGAAGATATTCCCCATTACTGGAATCTATGCTAGATCTATGAAGCACTCAAGCACTCAGCTAGTAGTACATACACTTATTCATATACCTTTCATTTCTTTGTACTACGATATTTAAATTCTTCGAACTGTACTTCCCCTAAATAAATCACATGCTATATTAAATGGATTATAATCTATGTGCTGGTCATATACAACAGAAAATCTTGGGGAATCTCCTGTGCAACTCTGAACACAGTTGATGTTTGCACCCAAGATCCTTATCTTTAGATCAAAAATCATGATGTCATTTTTCCTGCTTTCTCTGTTGATTTTTATCAGAAATACATCTTTTGCAACCGTATAGCCATAATCGCACGTGATAAACCCATATATAAATATGATTGAGATAAACAATTAAGACAATAGATTTTGAGACACTCTGCTTTTCTACTGCAAATTCCTAGCATGTATCTGCTCCATTAAGAACAAACAGGATAGTAAAATGTTTTCTACTTAACACAAATTATTATCAGATTGCCACATTTGTCTTTTTTTCTTCCATTTATTCTTCAGTGCAAAGAGTTTTCCGCAATTTCACTCGGTTTTTATACAATAAATATGCCTACAAGGAAAGTCTACAATTGAAAAGAATAATCTATGTAATTTGTTGGAGTTTCCACTATCAATGCTACCTTCAACTAGAATTCTACCAGTAAAGAGCCAAAAAGAGATACTTAGGTATACATCCAAATAAATATTTGCAATTACAAGGTTTTAAAGTGCCATGCATAACTGATACAAAACCTGAAAATGAAGTTAGGTAACAGAGGGGTTATATTTACATTGGGGAAAAATTTGTTTTTCCTATCGTGGTAAACTATTATCTATTTTTCATACAATTAATCTCCCCTTACTGTAAGTAATCTATCAACCTAAAAATACAATCTGTAAATGCAATTATTTGAGTTCACAGGACAGCAGAAAATATGAAAAATTTTCAGCAATTACATCAAATTCTTTACATGCTTGCTTTACATATGCCATTTCTTTTCGTTCCATCATGAATTCATCTATTTTTAATTTACATTACATAAACTCATCAGCATATAAATATGATCATTAAGAAGGTCTCTGAATTTAATCTAACTACCTAAAATGAAGTAATAAACACTAAACCAAAACAAACCTAAATACAAATAACTCACATTTACCTCTGCATTGTAGAATTTGGTTTTCACATCTAGTGGTTTGAGTACCTGAGTGAAATGGAAAAAAGACAGGTTGACTATTGGTTTCTCAGACATCATTAGTACAAACTGTTTATAGCAGTAAATCTTCACCAAAGATTTGATGCTGATGGTATTCTTGGATTTTTTGCCCCTTTTTTTTTTTTTACCATAAGCAGAACATGTGCATAAAGAAACATGCAATAGAATAATCTAAAAACTCAGAATTTGCTATATGCTAGTTGCTAGTTATTTACCAGCCCAGCTGCTTTCTTACTGTCCGAGTAGTCTTCTCATATTGGTAACAAATACTCTGCAACATCCTCTTATGAAATGAGACAAATATGATGTAGTGAGCAGATTTTGTCTCTAAAATAACATTACATCCACCTTGCATCCTGTAGTGGTCTCCACTTGCTCTCAAGAGGGGAACAAGAATAATCTAAAAGGCCCTTAAGCATTTAGCACCAAACAAATGTTGCTGAGGACCTCTCTAAAAATAAATGAAAGAACTACACATGTGATTTTCTTAAGCAATGAACCATTACTAGCCATGACTTCCTTCTTGAAAATACAACTGTTAACACTACTAAGATGGTAAATAAAGAATAGACACCAGATATTTTAAATCTCATAAATTAACAGTGAAAAATTTGATGACAAAAGGAGAGAACAAAGCAATGGTTTTTAAATGTTGCACATAAAATCAGTGTCTTCAACTCCAAGCAGTTAATACTTACAAAATGGAAATACACTGATAAATCTGAAAGAAATAACGTATTATACTTAGAAGGAAACAAGTTTAAAATGTCTTGCTGGGAACATTTGTTCTCCTGCACATATGGAAGGCCCACAGATACTAATAGCACACACTGATATTCTTTGTCTGTACCAGATGGCAATTTAGCCTTCTAAAGACCAAAATAATATTGTCTGCAGTAATCAGATTGAGTACAGGGCTGTAAGTGTACAATAAGATCATGTGCAATCTGGAGAAGACATAGATGATAAGCCACAGGTCTGGCTCATGTACTGTCAGAACCTATATAAGAGTAGCCAAAAACATATTAAGTAAAACACGCCACCCAATACTTCTTTGTTATCCCACAATCATGCAAGTCTTAATATATTTCACAGTAAATCAACACCCATTAAATACACAGCTAAAATACACTTTCCAACCAAAATCAATCCAGATGATAGTGATTTCCTGCTTTCATCAGTTATTCTAATCAAGTTTGGTACCTGTGTGGTGGAATGAAGACTTTCAACTTTATCAATTAATTCCTTTGACATTAGTAAAATATAGCACATTTAGAATTCTTTTCTTAGCTTCCTTTAAAAAAAAACCCTCTATTCCAGTTTTAAAAGGTTAAGAACACTAAGAGAAAAATCAGATTTTTATAACTTAAACTCACAAGTTAGATATGTCAAAGTCAGACTGAACAACACTTAATATGTTTTAAAAAAATCATAAAAATGGCTGCTACAAAGAGATTGGAAATTGATTTTTCATTACCAATCAATGAAAAAAATAGTATCTGTAACTTCTGAAAACTTTAGCTGCGCTGTAATTATAAACCATCAGTTCACCCAGTTTGAAGTGATAGCTTCTATCCATTTGATTTCAAGTGTCAAATATATAACAGCATGTAAAAATACTTCTGAAGCATAAACTGTTTTAACATTACTTTTTCAGATTGATTCATTTTGTACAAATAGAGTAGAATACTGTGTACTGTACCTGAAATTTGAAGAACTTTCTGAAGTACATCTTCTCTCCTGTTTGCGTAGTATAACTTACTGCACAAACTAAGCTAAAGGACATATTTAGAAAAAAATAATTAAATTTTGTACTGTATTAATGAAGGCATAGAATATCAGGCACATGCTGCAGTTTCACTGTTTATTATACCTCTGCAATGTTTAAAAATAAATCAAAAACAGATAAAAACACCAAGATTTAAAACCTTACATGTGCGTTCCTATTTCCTTCACTTCATGATGAATCACATCATCAATACAGCAGTCAGGTTTAAGTTCTGCCACTGCAGCAGTAGAAGCTGACAGGTTCAAGCGCTGAGAACTTGTCTGAAGATCAGCCTAAGAACAGAAAAACAAAGCATCAGGTAACTCTACAGCTGCTTAAGGTAAAATATGGAAAAATAAGTTAGGCTGAGAAGTATCTGAGGGTTTTATCCTGCACATTTTTATACATAAAGCACAACTGTGTTCATTGCGAGATAAGTTGCTTCCATGTATTTCAGAAATTGTCTTTGACAAATCTAATCCTTCAATATGTAGCTTATAAAATTCCCATTTACTCTTGAGTTCCATAAACTTCTAAAATTTCTGTTCTCATGCAATTCTCTGTTCAACAAGAAATGCAAAATATGATGCACCAGGAAATAACTCATTCAAAACATAAGGAAAACACAAGTAAATATATGCTATAAAGAGACTAGCTTTGACTACATAACTGAAAATAACAATTGCAAATAAAAGAACACGTGGTTTTTTTGGCTTTGGAAGTTTTGCCACTAATTCTCCAGAGAAGCTTTACAGATTATCCATTTTTTTAATACAATTTCATTTTGTTTTTTAATTCTAGTATTAAAATATTTCTTATCCTCACTTCCATTTTCATTTGTTTTTGTTTCCATTTGCAAGGAATATTTTCTGGATCAAAAAAGAAATAAACAGTCTGTGTATAAAACAAGCTAAATGCACTAATATTGCAAGAAAACAATCAAGATCTTCTGTTTGTTTTTAACAAACCGAGTATATAGATTTCACATACCTTCACCAGTATGTCCTTGACAACTTGATTACTATCATTATGTACACTAATGTAACTGGAAAATGTTTCTCCCAGAAATATATTTCTGCATTTAAAAAATATACATATATGTTTAGCAACAACAATAACACACAAAAAAAACAACAATTCACAAAATTCCATTTTTAACATATATATTTTTTAAGCTGATCATTAGCCTTGCCAACTTTGATTACTATCTCCAGTTCCTAAAATGCTAGAAAGATGTAGTTTGTGAAAGTCCTATGAGTGGCTCACAAACTCACAATACTAAGTCCAGCGTGAAGAAATACAGTGCTGAAACTACACCGCAACAGTCATCAGGCTCACTGGGGGAAGTCCATTTGCTGTGGTTAATTTTTATACTTAGTAGTATCCAGAAGGAAACAGAACTGTTTATAGGATTCAAATTTCAGAATAGCTAGGGAGGTGGCCAAATCAAACCTTAGAATATGTTGGCAATTTCACACCCATATTTCTCAACGTCATCCTACTAAGAGCAAATTTCAAAAAAAAATAAGACAATCAAAAGTTTTACAAGATAAGAATACAAAAACAATACTGTGTACAAAATAATAGACAACACTACAGAAGTCACTGCAATAAAATCTATCAGCATAAGCTGTGGTTTATAGCAGCATTTTACATCAGGACTTTACCAAAATTTCTTTCCACTTACTGTTCCTGATACATTCAATCAGGCTATACACAACATTAAGCAATATACATTTATATATTACATCACATTCAAAATCGAGTCACAGAATGGTTTTAAAATAATTGAATATTTTATTGCATAGAAAGGCAAGTAAGAAATGTTAAACAAATCCTAGAACTTAATATAATATACTTAATATACATTACCCAAAATTTTGAGGCAAAGTCAGCATTTCTCCTAGCATCAAAGCTTCTGCTCCTTTTACAGTAGAAGGATCATCTTTCATGAGCTGGTGAAATAGATTACCTGTAGAACATCAGATTGCATACATCTTAGTACTAGTCAAGTCAAAGGCTTCATCTGCATTTAGGATATGACACTTCTTTTTTTCTTCTCAATTTATGTTAAATATATTTGTTTTACAACCAACTTACTTAGGGACAAAACACATGTATATATGCTTGTTTATAAGTTAAGGCTTTTACAATTACACTGAACAGCACAATCTCAAAGGCATTCTCAAATTATTATTAAATCTTAAGGGATATTCTGTCTAACTAGAGCACGCCACGTAATGAAGGGGACTACGTGGAGCTTGCTGGGGGTCCATCCCCGTGGGGATCCACAGTTAGCCTAACTTCCACGAGGCCATGGGCTTCACAGGCTGAAACGGCAAAAGCAAGGTCTGCTTAGTTACCGTGTTTGTTGCTTCTGCTGTGCTAAGGTGGTGGTCACGGGTGGGAATCTTTTACAATAGGGAACTGTAGGCTTTGATCAAGAAGAAACACTGGACGTAGAAACAAGATGTAAGATTAGATATGGTTGCTTAGGGAGGCCTTGAAACTGTTGAGTTGTATCCAAGATATACGTAATCATATATATATATATATGTGTGTGTGTGCTGCTGTGTTGGGTGAATATAGTAGATGTAGTAGAAGAAGAATAATAAAGGACTTTCCTATGACAGAGGCCTCTTGTTGCTGAACTGCGACAACGTAACAATTGATTAGCCCCATTTCCCTTCTCTCCAGACTGCCTTGCATTTCTACACAGGTCTCTTTTCTTGGATCTTTCCCTTTTTCTTATACATCTAAGTTGCAACTACTACTGAGGGGTAATCCAGGAATTTGCAATACTTCACCTCCATACACCAAGCACACGATCATGTGATTCTGCTGTGATTCAATTTCCATTGCAATATGTTGTATAATATATATCAATGAATATTAAGATGTTATAATTACAAAATAAACAAGAGAGTTCAGCAAAGCAGATTATGATAACAAAAAGAGAATAGATAGAAAGCTAACCCGTATCCTGGGCTCACTTACAAAACTCCAGCACAGTGAATCTCCAGAAGAGATTCTTTCCCCCTGGTAGCCAGGGGGAAATAAAATAGATCTAAATAGATCTAAATAGGTTTAGGAGAGGTGGAGCCAGGCTCCACTCCTTCCAGCAGCACAGGTGAATTGTTTTCACCTGTGCTCCTGTGGCTGACTCATGGCTCGCTTCAGGTGATCAATCAGAGGTTCAGTTCCCATACACATTGATTATAATTAGTGCAGCATTTTCTCCAGATAAAAAAAATATTAACAACAACCTTTTGTTTTCTACAATTACATATTTTTCTCTGTTAGAGATTCTTTCCCAGTTAAAATAACTGCATGCTCCCTACCTCACAGTAACAACTGTAGAGATAGTGTCTTAAGTGCTCAGATTTCAAGTTCATATGTTCACAATATAATCACTAAGTTTTCAAAGCTCTAGGTGAAGAGTTGCATAGTGCATCTTGGTATTTTCCTATACCTAATACCAACCAAAACATAGTAGCATTTCAGATTACTTTCTACAGAAGTTCAGAAGAATTCTTTTCACATATAAATCTTAGATGCACTGCTTAACCCTAGCAATAGGTGTTTACTGTAAGGGAACTGCTAAATCATGGCCTGAACCACTGTCTGATTACCTGAGACAAGTACTGAGTCAGCCCAAGGAGCACAAGTGAAGGCAATCAGCTGTGTGACTGGAAGGGATGGAACCTGGTTGCACCTCTCCTAGACCCTGTTTAAGGGCTGACTGCTACTGAGGAAGGATCTTTTCCTGGAGATCCCTCCTGTCGGAGTTTTATACTTTGAGCCTAGGGTGAGCATTCCATTTATTTTTGATTGTCTCTTTCTACCACAATAATCTTTTTAACTATAAACTTGTAAAATACCATCCCAAGCACACCACTCTTCTAACTGCACATTTGTTAACTGTACATTTGTTAACTGTACAGTGCACAATGATCAGTTAGTAGATAAAACATACCTGGCAAATCTCTTTCTTCACAAGTCACTGGAATATTAGTGAATAAGGTAGGCTTTGTTAACCTCATCACTGCAAAAGCAGAAAATAAAACATAGGTCAATCGACAAGTTTATTTGTTTGTTTTAAGCACAGTTCTGTCATGCTCTCCATTAAAAAAAGAACTAATGAAAACAAACACTATCAAATCTCAGCTCAAACGATGTCAAGATCTTTTTAGCCCATCTGGTCATTTTCAACAGAATAAATTCCCTGCTACTCTAATCCAAGCATACGGGTGGTGAAAATGGTTCCTCTTGCTTTCTCTGACAATAATGTCTATCATTTTTTATCTTAAATTTGAATATATCTTTTCTGTTAAAATGTTGTACTATGTGTTTTGTGGATACAAGGAGTGTACCAGCTTCATTCTGTGTGACCATTCTAAATCTGCTTAGATGTCTGTTCTGTGACTCTAGATACCACAGAATTGAACACAATGACTTATTTGGATTTTAGCAGCCATAAATATCAGGACACAACACAATTTATATCCTAATCTCCACAATATACATATGATATACATAGAATTAAGGAGCCAAGATTGAAGTAAGGAGCCAAGATTGTCAATACAACAGCAAAAGGGCCAAAAAACTCAAGGATCTTCTTATAAAATCTTTCATCAATACCAATAAAATCAAAATCATCAAGATCTTCTGATTAAAAAAACAAAACTCTACTTCAAGAAGGTTGTGTTTTCAACGGCATTTCTTCTATGAAGATAGAAAGAGAGAGCTGAGGTTGATGAGAGTTGAGCTCTTCTCTCTTGGAGAGGAGAAGACTCCAAGAAGAACTGACTGAAGTCCTCTCGTACCCAAAGGGGAGCTACAAGAAAACTTAAGAGGAACTCCATGAGGGAATGCAGTGATAAACTGTGCAATTAGTTATTATTGCTAATTAATTAATTAGCAATTTAGGTTTCAAACTAAAAAAGGGCAGATTCAGATTAGGTATTCTGAGCAAGTTCTTTAATCAGAGGATGGTGAGGCGTTGGCACAGACTGCTTATCTCTGGAGGTGTTCAGTGTAGGCTGAATGGGCTCCTGGGCAGCTCGGTCTGGTGGGAGGTTTTCCTATTCAAGGCGAGGGAATGGAACTAGGTGATATTTAAGATTCCTTCCAATCCAAACCATTCTGCGATTCTCTAACTTCATGTAACTCAGAATACTCAAGGTCACATGATTTTCATTTGCACTATATATTTGAGATTCTTGAACTTACAAATTTCCTCCCTACTAATATTAATCAGTGCCCACACCTTGCCTATTGCTTCATATGAATGCATCAACATAAAACTTAAGTTTAGCATTTGCAATCTCAAATTTTGATCTGAATATGTAAAGTGCACTGATTCCTTTTTCTTCTACCAAACATAAAACTTAAAATTTTATTTTATAAAAAATCATGATATTTCTTTTGAATACAAGATGTTAAACAACAACCTTGCACTGAAACACGTACTGCAATTTCACATTTATTGTACTACTTACAGACCATCTCAGCATTCACTATTTCCAACTGTATAAAAATATTCAACTCCTTTCATATAGTAGTGGGCTGGGCTGGTTCACATTAACTTATACTATCATACAGTAAACCTATACAAGCTAGTATTTACATGAATAAATCTTAGTTTTCAAATGTAAAACAACAACAACTTCAGATCATTCTCTTTTGTGTGTTTAAAGACTAAAAATATGACCTCTGAAGGCTCTGTACCATGCGGTAAACAAAAAGCCTCAAAATACACAAAACAGAGTAAGTAGAGAAGCGGATTCAACATAGGAACTGAAAAAGGTACTAAATCACATGTGCGTATGAACAAAGCAGTTCTAGATAGCTCAAAGTAGAATTTTTTTACTTCACTTCTACATTGGTCCTACCCGAAACAAATAGCTTTATAGAAAAACTAAATGCTGCATTCATTTACTACTGTTTAGTTCTCCAGCTGTGGTGTAGTCAAGCACAGTGAGTATCATTGGTCATAAGCCAGCTAAGAGAAAGCAGCAGAAACCTGACAACTACAACTGAATAGTGGCACTGATCTCTGTTCCAAGTTTTGGCAGATTGTAGAGTATCAAGTTGGAAAGGATCTACAAAAGTCACAGGGTCCAGCCCCCAGCTCCACACAGGGACATCCAAAATTCAAACCCGGCCTCTGAGTGTTGGCCAGATGGTCCTTGAGCGGGACTGCCGCTATGACCACTATCCTGAGCAGCCTGCTTAACTGCCCTCTGCCCTCTGGTGCACACCCTGTCTCCAACTCCCAGCTGCCCTCCCCTGGCACAGCTCCATGCCGTTCCCTCAGGCCCAGTCGCTGTCACACAGAGCAGAGCTCAGCGCTGCCCTCCGCTACCTGTGAGGAGCTGCAGCCGCCACCAGGCCTCCCCTCCGCTCTTCTGCTCTGCACTGAGCATGCTCAGGGGCGTCAGACACTCCTCATACCCCCTGCCCTCCAGTCCCTTTACCATCTTCATAGTCCTCCATGGACACTCTCCAATAGGTTTAAGTCCTTCATATATTGTGGCGCGAAAACCACACCCAGATCTGGAGGTGAAGCTGCACAGTGCGGAACAGAAAGGACAACCCCTCCCTCACCCACAGGCAGTGCTGAGCCTACTGCACACCAGGACATGGATGCCACTCTTGGCTGTCAGGGCAAACTGCTGCCTCATGATTTAACTCGCCATCAGCCACAACGCACAATCCCTTTCTATGGGGGCTGCTCATCCACAATTCTGTATGCTCCAGGCACAGAAACTGGCACTTGCTCATTACAACTCAGGCACTTGGTGAGTGCCCAGCACTCTAATTTGTCATGATCTCTTTGCAAAGCCTTTCTACCACCAAGGAATGTTTTCTTAGTTAAGTCCTAAGTTTATTTAAAGAATATAGTGGGATTGTATTATAGACAATTACCTAATTGTCTTCAAATCTACAATAAGCTTATATAACTAGAACCGACTACTTATCATGGAAGAGTTACAGCTCAAGTTTAAAATAAAGATAACAGTAATAAAATTAAAAAATATACACCAAGGAGTGAAGTCAAAATGCACAAATCAAGATATGTAGATTATTGTATTTAATGAGACTACTAAAGTATTCTGTTCTTGTAGTATTACAGATTATCTCTTGCTTTTTTCCTCAGATTCTAACACTTAATAAAACATTCTGCATCTTAGTACACTGTATCTCTAAAAATTCTGACAGTACAAAGTAACTTCATTACTATTATCTTTAAGATCAGAGAAGTAATTTCACTGATGTAAATTGGCTACATAAGCTCTACTACTAATAGCAACAACTAGTTATCTGTCACATCAGTTTTGCTAAGCAGTAATATTAAATCCCACAAATACACCAAATAATAATACAGAACATTCTGCTTTCAGCCAAAGTTTAAAAATGCATGTCAATGTTCAATATCCTTTGTTTTAAACTACAAAGAGGTATGCAATGTCCACAATAAACTATTATTCTTCAAACATTATCATATGAAGAAAAACAAGCAAAATTCCAAAGGGAATATCCTGGAGAAATTAAGTGCAGAAGTATTTTTTCCTTTAGACAAAGGACAAGAGAAAAAATACAATACTGTACTAAATCAAACAAATGCATGTTGCAGGTGAATGCGAGAGGCAAATGTATTAATCTTCATTGACCCATTCACGATTTTCCCAACAAAATAAACTTAAATACACTACTACAACTTGAAAACTGTAGTAAAGTAACAGTTATTTTCTTTTAATTAATTCATCCGCTGTTCTGAAGTTTGTGTATTTTAAGCTCCTTAAAAACTAAGCTAACTTGAAACTACTTCAGACAACAATATTGTTACAAAACTATGTTACAATCACAAACTAAATATAATTCCAAATTTATGTACAAGCAAATTCATTTTATCAGTAAGGCTCAGCTTTTCCCTAAGAATATTTCTAATATATTCACAGTATAGTATATCACAGAAAATCCATATCTGTCCCAAAGATCTTTGGATAGTAGCATTGCAAGATGGCAATTCGTTCTGCTTGATCAGTCTATTCAATTTTATCCAGATGTCCTCCAAGTTCTGGTTATTACAATTAGACTGCTCAATTGTCCACTTTGCTCTATAAAATGCATGCAATTTAAGTCTTTCCAAATTGTTTTGAAGTTCTTGAGATAGAGGAAGAATCTTTTCTTTAAGCTTAGGGCTACAGAGAGAGACACTCCAAGACCTTTTCAATTTCTGTTTCTCATAAGATGCTGGTTCCCCTTGATTTTCCAAGTTAATTTGCCTGCGGCCATTTTGTGTGTGGGTTAAAGTCTGCCCATGATTCATATCAGACCGAAATTCAAGGAGATTTTTTGTGCAGTCATAACTAGGAGATTCTACAATACATTCTGAAGGTGTAGTAAGTTGTTTCAATTCTTCTGCTTCTTCAGAAGAAATAACAGGTGGTTGCTTTTTGGGTTTGAGCGGAAGTCTGTACAAATCATTTGGAAACCAGGGTGTGAATCTTGGTAACTGACGAATGGGAAGCTCCTTCACTGCCGCTTCTGCAAATTTGTGCAGTTCTGTCAGATCTCTCTGATGTGGTCGGTAATGTAAGACCACTTCCATGCTTGTGCAGTAGCAATCCAGTTATTCTTAATTACAAGAATAGTCTCTTGATGAGGATTCATAAGTCTAGATTGAAACATCTTATTTACAAGAATTTCCTTGCCCCATGCTGCAAAGATCAGTGGGAAACGGGACCTAAAGCAGAAGCATTATGAAAAAATAAGACACTTCCAAATTAAGAAAAACATTGCTAGGATATTCTGTAAAAAAAAAAAGCAACAAGTGGTAAAACAAGCCAGACATGTACATTAACCTTTCTATTTACTCAAGCTGACTACAGCAACTGTGTTCCATCACCACCAGCATAATTTCAGTACACTGAACATTACCCACAAGAACGCAGTTTAATAGATGCTGTCCTTCCTCAACGATATTCTTTTCACTGGAACCTTTTCATGCTTGCCATCCACCTGCCACTTGTTACATTTTTGTGATCAGTAGGGTAAGGATAACTGAGAAGACCTCAAATGTTAATTCTTACGTATTAAGGCAAGCATAATTCTCTTTTTCCAAAGATTCTGTACTCACATGACTTTATGAACTTTAAGTGTACTATCAAAGCATGAAGTAAAATAATTCTTAAAAATATCATCTTTAATAAGACACATCACCACCACTGTCTATTTCAGCAAAGCCACCAATCAAATATTTATTTTTGAAGTATTTTCCCCAAAAATTTTAACAGACTAAGCCAAGGCATATAAATTAATTACAGAATATACGATGTATTACAGAAACCTTCCTGAAATAGTACTGACAGATGTTGCAGTTTTTAAAGTTGACACTAAAAGGTAAGTCCAAACAGACTAAGGTCTGCTTTTTTTCCCAGTTTATATAATGTTCATAGTCATTCAACTTCCAAGGAATACATGCAGCCATTCTTTCAGAAGTAGTAAGTCCTTACAGATTTTATACTCTAAAAATATCAGTAACTTCTTTCTTTCATTTAAAGACCAAATTAAAGTAGGGAAAAAAAAACAAACAACAAACAACAACCTACAAACAGGACTATGAGACTTAACACAAAGCATATATAACATGCACTCTCACTCAAGCTTCCCCTCTCTGCTTATCAAGTTTGCAATCATTTCAGGTTCTCCATCAGACATCAGCAATATACAATAATGTTGGAGTCACTAAAATTTCAAATTGCTTAATCATGTCCCTGTCAATATTTTGTGCATGGGCACTGTATCAAATTCAATACGAGCCCAAGGATCCTACTGATTTATCGCAAAAACAGATTGACATGCCATACAACATGTTCCTTTGTATAAATTACTAACAAAATGTTCTGATAATGGCAGCTGACAGTATTCCATGTTCTTACATTTTGGCTTAGCTGTTGTCTGTGCACATGTATGAAAAAGTGGTTGCCGATCTCTGAATTATGGTTAATACATTTTACTATGAGATGCTGAACTCTCTCAAAAAACACTGTGAAGCAATTAAACAAACAGAAGATGGAGTCTAACATCATCTATGCACCTGCACTGCTTTACATAACTGAGCCATCTCACTCACTTAAAATACACATGCAATTAAGGTTTTAACTGTTCCCTATTCCACCTCAATAGCAATGCTTATTTCCAACAAGCACTGTTCAAGAAAAAGAAGGTGGATACTTCTGCTGACTGCAATAAGAGGCAGCTAGATTCAGGTTTTTCACTGCTTCAGCTCCTAACCTGATGGTACCCAAGTGCCTGTTGGCACAACCAGCTTTTTTTATAGAAACCTATCGATTATTTTTGTTTCTATCAGCTCTAGGTCTGTAAGAACTACTAGTTTTTTTCTCTCAATACCCGTGTTTCCTGAATCAAAAATGCAAGCCAACGGCTGTTCACCGAGGGAAAAAGCCATTAAAGGAAAAAAAAAATATCAGGGGACTACAAAGAAAATCTTAAATCAACTAAAAAAAAAAAAAGAAAGTTAGAAGTGCTGAAGCCTGTCTGCAAACCGCAAATACAGCGCAGAGCCCGGAGCGCCCCGCCAGGCCCGGCGCGCAGCCCCGTCCTCCGCCCGCCCGCGCGCTCCCCGCAGCGAGACGCGGTCACGCGGCGCGCCCCGTCCTTCCGCAGACCCGGGGGAAAGCAGCTCGGCCCTCAGCACTTCCCAAGCTCAGGGACCAGCCGGGTGAGAGCGGCCGCTGAGGGCCCGGCCAGGCAAGGCGCCCGTACCTTTCAGGGCCAGCAGGTGCTCCTGCTTGGGCTGGTTAATGTCCATGGTGCAGCCGCGAGCCCCGAGCGCCCCAACCAGGGTAGAAGTGCGCACGCACGGCGCAGCAGAGCGGGCACCTCGGAACCCGGAAGCAGCTGTCCAGGACACACCCCGCCCGGCACCGCCACGGCGCCACCAACTGCTCAGCCCCTCCTCGCAGGAAGGCGGGCCCCGCGGGCGCCCAGCAGGCGATGCCTGCTGTGACGGACAGTCCTCGAGAGCTTCCCGAAGCGGCAGTCCCGCGGAGCACGACGGGAACCGCAGTTCTTTGCCGCTTGGTCGGAGGAAGCGCGCAGCCCCGCCCCTACAGTGCGCACGTTAAGGCGGGGTTTTTTTCTGTGGCCCGCTGTGCTCCGCCCTTCAAAGATGGCGGCCCTGGCTGTAAACAAGGCTGGGACGGGGCCGGACGGCAGCCGTGGAGCTAGTAATAACCGGGGCCCAGCCGGCGCCGCCGTGAAGGTGAGACGGGCTGTTCGGCGCTCTCCGGCTTGCGGTCTGCCCTTGCTGGGCTCGGCGAGAGGCGTAGTGAGGGCTCTCCGGGGCGGCAGGGTTTCCCTGAGGCGGTGGGCTGGGTCGCGCCGAAACACCGCTGCGGGAGGGCCTCGCTGCGCTTCCACCTCACCGCGGGGCTCCGGTGAGCGGCTGCGAGGCGGGAGGCGGTCAAATGACAGCTGTGTCCCAGCTTTTCTGGGGAGGGCTGCTGCGTGCTGCTTCCGTTTGTTTTTTTTTCCCCTCAGCCTAGAAACAGATGGTATGTTTTCTGAAATCGTAGGTTCTTGAGTGTGGAGTCTGTGAAGATGTGTTCTCTTTGCAAGGCGATAAAGTTCCTCGACTGCTTCTGTGTGGCCATACTGTCTGCCATGACTGCCTCACCCGGCTTCCCCTTCATGGCCGGGCCGTCCGCTGTCCTTTTGATCGGCAAGTTACTGAATTGGGTAAGAAAGCTTTAGTCTGAATTTGTTAAGACCCAGAATGTTCAAAAGACTAGGAAGTCTTAGCAGAAAATGTATAAAAGCCAGTTTGTGTTAGTGGGCTGGCAGTATGTGGTGTCAGAATTTTTACAGTCAGTAGCTTTGATTGGGATGAAAATGGATGGAAAGAGGGTTGGTATGGTAAAATGGATGACTGGATAAGTGTATGGATAATACATAGAGCCAAATAATGTGAGTATGCTAGTTGTGGTGTTTGGTTTGCAGCATTCCTTCTGTGGGATGCTTTTTTTTATTGAGAAGAGTGAGAGAGGTCTTTCAAAGATTAAGTAATAAATCTTTATCTTCTTGAACATAGGCTTGCAAGCATCTTATTTGTAAACCTGTATTTATAAAATAACTAATCTGTTTCAAATTCCTGTGTAAGGATACTTCAGAGGACATCAGTTTCCTGTTGTCCTAAACATTAAATAAACTATTCAATTATGTAAGTTGTTTCTCTGTCAAACAAATTTGTCTGAAATCACGATGAAATGATAATAAACCTGTTCTTAAACTATATGATAATTTGAAGTGAAATTTAACTTAAATTGGCATCTAGGGATCTTATTACTTTAGAAATGTCTCTGAAGAGCCTTTGAAAGGATTAGATGCAACTTTTATTCCACAGTGGGAGTCTTTCAGACAAAATATGGCACATGCTTGTGATTGTCTATTCAACATAAGGTTACAGAGAAAACAAGTTACAAGAAGAATTTGTGTCAAGGTTAACTTGTGAACAGAACTATCTGTAGTAGCTTTGAATAGCACAGTAAATAAAAATGTTAGGATAGAGGAGAATCCGTGGAGAAGGAGATCTCAAATGTAGTAATCCATGAAAAAAATGTACAATTATCACATTAGCATGAATAAGTATTTACTCTGAAGTGAGAGGGTCTGCTAGAGTGAGAGGAATATTAAAGCATTTAATGGAAACAAAAACTGAGGAGAGAAACGTCAGTGTGATCTGAATTTTGTTTGTGGTAGGAGAGGTGTGGACGGTATGTGATTAAAAGTGTCTCACAATTTATTTTTTTATCCATGACTGTACAGGGTTTCTGTATGTATGTTTTAATAGGGAGCGTGTTAGTCCTGCTGTTGTGAAACTTCAGTGTGAGACAGCTGCTTGTGTCTTGTGATCTGAGAGCAGAGCGTTTTATTATAATTGGGACATGGTCACTTTGTGGCTCTTACTGTGTGATTTCCACCTGACAATTGAAAGCATCCTATAGTAATTTTTTTGAGTTTCAGATTCAACAAAAATGCAGTTTCATAAAAACACTAAGTTTCTTAATCTTATATAAAATTCGTAGTTTCTCATGAAGCACAGTGATGTGTTAAATTTGCAAGACTTCTACAGAAAGGAAGGTGGAAGGAAAGTTGCAGCTTTCATTTCTAGGAAAGTAGGCTTGCATCTCATGGATAGTTCTGGAAAGAAGGATGATATGCTGTGACCAGTCATTGCTCAAAAAAAAAAAAAAAAAAAAAAAAAAGAAAATTTCAGCAAAACAGCTTGAGAGTCAAAATGCTTTTGTGAATAAAAATGTTCTGCCTGATGATTTCAAGCAGAAGAGGGTCACAGCCACATCTCATCTGCTCTGTAAGAGCTGTCTCAGGAAATGTAAAAATGTAGTGTATTATGGACAGCATCCTGTCATGATCCATCTGAGTAGCTTGTGCATTTGTTGTCTTGTCCTAATCAACCTGCTGTTGTTAAATTCTGCTGCAGTTCTGTTTCATTCGGTGATCTCAGGAGTGGAATTGGGAAGGAGACATGGCAACCATGCACCTGATAAAAGCAACTTCTGGTTCTTCCCTCCCCTCTATTTAGGAGCCTTTTAGGAAATAAGCTCTGTTCTGCTTTTAGTGCATTTAAACTCAGGCATCTGGTCAGTAACTAAATCTAGATTATGAGACTGCTGTCCTGAGAAAGTTCTTTTGAAGGAAGAGCTGGGTGATTGGGGCAAAAAATTGCCTGTGTTGAACAAATTGTTAAGATACTAAATATAGATTTTATGAATGCTTTTAAGCTAATGGAATTTTAAACTATACATTTAAGCAGATAGAATTACTTGTTTATCCTTGCTCTTTCTACTATCACTCAACTCGACATTTGTCTAAATGTTCAGAAGGATTCTTAAGCACTTCTCAAGAGATTCCCAGAGATTTTTAGGAAGGATATCTTTTCCCTGTTTTGATTTGGGTGTTTGGTTAAATATGCTTGCCTGTTTCTTCTATATGTAGAAAACAGACAAAATGCTTCTAACTGGCTTCTCAAACAATCAGGATTTCAGGATATGCAAGGTCTGGAAGTAAAAATTGACAATAATACTTACAAAGCCTTTTTTCTACCAAATATTCAGGTTTGGGAGAGTAGGCAAATCATTTCTAACAGTCTTCTTTCTCTCTTCTCCGTTGTGTACGGGATTAAAGTTTTTCTGTGATTAGTTTTTTGGTGTGAGTGTGTGTTTTTGTGTGTAATGTTTCAGTTGTTTTTCAAAATACATAGACCAGGGAATTTTGTGAAGGACGTGCTTATGTGATAGCTTTGGAGGCCAACTTTTTCTCTTTACCACAGCAGCTCTGCTAAGGAAACCTTTTGGAGTTTATGGCTCAGGTGAACTCTTCGTGCCACCACCATGTTACAGAGCTTGAACTATTTTCTGTCATTAAAACTTGTTCAGCTAATGTATTCAGACTTCGGTGTACATCATCAAATCCATTCCATGGACACTGTTTATATATTCTTTTGCTAGAGCCCTGAGATAAAACTTCAAAACATTGTGCAAGAAAATGCGGCTGTAATACAATATCCCTTCTGCTTTGTTCAGGTATCCAGATGCAGATGGCTCTTTTTATTACTCCTGTTATTTGTAATTTTTTCCCGGACAAGCTTCATGCTCTTGAAAATGTTATTTGTATTGTTGGCAGGAGTCCATCTTAATATCTTCAGCAGCTCAGTCACTGTCTCATTCCTGGCACACATGCTTCCTGCTAATCATGTATTACTCTTCTTTACGGAAGAGACTGTCGGATTGTGTGCTAGTTTTGTAATGGGCACAAACATCCCTTGTAGGCACGGAGATGAGATCACTAGACTCTTTTACACTTGTGACCAAAGCAGAACTTGAACTGAAGTTAAGAGATAAACAAATGTACTTATGCAACTTATCTTTTGGTGTTGTTTTCTTATTATAAAGTATGTGCATACTACACAGCAATTGTTTAATGTGTTTAGCACAAAAAGGAGCAAATAGGCTTTTTCTCAAATAATGTAAACTTTCCTAAGTACCATTGAAATGAAATGTGAGTTTCTGTAAAACAGTGCCTGTTTTATAGGTGCTTATTTGTTGCAAATTCTGCTTCAGTAGATTAATTCAGATGTTTACGCTTAAGTTTTGCCTGTTCTTTGTGTGTCTCCAAAGTTGTTTCTAACACATTTAAAATCTGAACTAGAAAATAGCTTGTAAGACAGAACAGCTACAGGCCTTTAAGTTAATTGTGCTTTTTTTCTGACTTGACTTTCTCTTCATGCTAACTGTGGGAGAGAAGAAGAAGAACATGATTAAGATCAGATAATGGATTGTAAACAAAAGGCAGTACATTTATTAAGGAAATTTTCTTGGCTTTTTAATTTTTGTAAATTAAAAGAAAATACTTTTATAGTGTACTCTATGAAGATTGAACAGCTTCTTCATCTTTCAGCCTTATCCAGTATTTGATTAAAAGCTAAGAAAATGTTTGGTAAGCAGGTTGATTCTTTTGGTGAATATGCATCTATGTATATTGTTATTAATGATTCTCTGCATTAATGACTCACTGGATTTCTGAAAGCTACACAAGTATCAGCATTAATTATACGGGTGTGCTATTAATGTGCAGGTATTATACTGTAGTAACTGAAGTTTGTGCATAGTCATTTTAATATGGGATAGTGTTACTCTAAATGCTGTAGAAGAGAACCATCAGATGCTTTTCTGTAATTGATTTTGGAGAGTTAGTGTCCAAAAGTCTCTATGGATGGAGTGCCAGAAAATCCAAGCTCTGTTTACAAACTGATTTGACGGAGTTTAGATTCCTAAAATGGGCATTTTTTTCAATTTGTAGCG